AGAACATCGGCCCGTATCGAAAACTCCAACCCTATAAATGATATTAAAAAAAACAGAGGTTAGGCTTGAAAAATTTATAAATATTTAAAAACTATTTATTTTATAGCAAATGAATTCAACCCAAGAGAAGATATAGTTCGCTACCATCGTATGTAATATGTATTAACGTTGTCGGATCCGGATATCCAGATCCGCAGACGGGATGTCCGGAAATTTTCAACTATCCGACAACCTTAATATTCACAAGTTTTTTTGTATTAGTAATTTTTTTAAAAATATTGATGCAAATATATATGAATGCAAAAATATTATTGCAGATTCTTCATTTGATGAGTTAGCTTTCAAACAATTCTTATCTGTCGGATGGCTTAATCCAACAGTTATGCAAACTCCAAATCTATGGAATTTTCCCAATTATAGTGAATTTGCTTGGAATCAACCTGAAAAACGATTTATTACGGAATTCAATCCTGAAGGGATTATGAGCAAAATATCACAACATTTCAATGAATTTGGATGGCCTGAAGAGGAGAGAGTATTAGTTGTAGATAAAGTTAGTAAATAGTTTTCTTGCCATATCTGTATATATTGTTCTATAAGATAAGCTTTAAAAATTACCAAAACCCCCAAGAAAGTTCTCGAGTCAAGATCATAACTAAGGTTTTGCGCTTCTCTACTACATATAACACCTTGTAATTAAATGCTGATTTTAAAAATAAGAGTATATCTTACAAAGTTTTATACTATAATAAATCAAAAATTATTATTTTTAAGCATTTGATAGGCATCAATTTTTTATCAGAAAAAGCAAATTGGATTTTAGAAATTGTATCACATAGTGGAGATTCAATAACAGAAGATATAGTAACAAAAAAGTATCAAAAGTTCGGACAGCGTAATAATAAAAATGTTTTAAAGACACTCGAACTGCTTGATAAATATGCGAGGTTAATTTAATAAAACTATCGAATATTGATATAGTAAACCTTCTAATTAACGGACTTTTCGATATAATAGAGATAGATCGTTGGTTCCTTCCTAAGATTTATTTTTCAATTATTTTGAAATTTTAAGTTGTGTAGCTAAATGGAATAAGAAGAATATCATAACAATAACAGGGCCAATATCAGTACTTGTTTCAGAAAAAATTGAAAAGAAAGAAAATGTTAAGAGTTATCCGGTATGGATTTGATTAAATTTTTAAAATAATAAAAGTAGAAAATATTATAATTCTATGAATTTCTGATTTCAAAATAGTTTAAAATTCCAATGTATACACTTGGGTTCCATTTGTATGACACTAAGGAATTTATATATTGAGTCACTTTCGGCCAAATAAAACTGTCGTTAGTGAGACTAACGTTCAATTTGGAAGTCGTAGATCTAAGTTCCAAATGTACTATTGGTATATTCTATATTTCAACTTATTGTTTAAGTTCAACAATGAAGTAAAGCATCCCCCAATAACTCAATTTTTCCAAGTTATTGTTATTGAATATGAACGGAGAAATTATTGTGCTGACATAATTTTTACTGAAGCTAATTGGAATGAAGATACAAAATCTGATGATATTTCTAAAGAAAATTGTGGAAAAGATCGTTTAGATAATTATGACTACAAAAATTATATTAAAGATCATAAAATTATGGGAGAGTTATTCAAAAATAAATTGGAATTTTTACAATGGTATATCGGATTTGAGTTGATTGATTTGTTGCATAATTCTGGATTTGATAAAATAAAGAAATTAGGTACATGAATATTGAATGTTGAGGGAAATGATCGGTTACAGCTCGCGTTTCAATATATTTTCGGACTGGGGTTCGGGTAATAAACGAAGCATTGTAAATTACCGTTTCTAAAAATAAATTTCAGATACATGCGATAATAAAAAATTATTTGAAGCAACGACTCCAAATTTGAAAGAATCCTTGAAGTCAACCTTCAAAAATAAATTTATTAAATATAAAAATGAATTTTCATTTTCTAAAAAATTCAAAAATATAAATTTGAGTGATATAAGTGTGGAAAATAATGAAAAATATAAAAAGTCGAATATTCGAATATATCAAGTTTGTTAAATTTATAATTCAAAATTTATATTTTATTTTCAAGGATTTTATAATAAATTTTAATAGAAGGAAGAGAATACCAAATTGGGTTTTGGAATATTTAACGAAGGAACATATGAATAAGTTAACAGCACAAAAATTTTGGTGGTCAGCTGATCCAAACTTTTCAAAAATATTCCAGCCGGAATATAATGATTATGAGTGCCATCCGGTTTAATCAAATCTTTTTCCCCTAAATTTTGTAAATTAAGAACTCTATATATAACCATGGCCATCTAGCAACGGGAAATTTACATCCGCACGAGCAAGGCTTTTACCTTACAAATTCAGTGCCACAATACAATTTAGTTAACAGTGGACATTGGAGAGTTATTGAAGAATACATTAGGTAAATAAATAACAACAATAAACATATTTTCTCTAATTGAATGCCCTCTCCAGCTGATGACCATATCTAATAGAATGCCCCTCTAGAGAATGATTTAAAAATAGATACCGCCGAGATTTATGAGTTTACTTTAAAACTTACATAATATGTAGATATCGAGGATATAAGAAGATTTAGAAAGATATCGATGGTTTATGGGTGATATCCGTGGATTTAGAGGGATTAAAATTTTAAGCGTTATAAGATTGTATTGCTATATAGGAGTGATATATTAATAAGATAAGTTTTGTTAATTTAAAGTTATTGTAGATCTTAATAATTGAATATGAATATTTTTCGTATCTTCGAATCCAAATTATCTGAATAAATACTATGTATATAGAATTAAGAGGATTTATGATGATAGCTTGGTTTTAGAGTTAACCGTTATTTGACGTGAATAAGTTGGAACTTGTTAAATCTTGTTAAAAAAAATAATGCACGGCATTCCGTTAGAGGAAATACGATATTTAAATTATGTATTTTCTCGATTAATTACCCCTCTCCCTCCCGATTGATTATCGGCTTTAAGTAAATACATAACAACTAAATATCCAGAGTAATTATTCGAGATGATATGATATAAATATATAATTATATTTTAAGTTGTATGGCAAAAGAAGCAGAAGAAACATATATTTATTCAGGGCCATTATTTTTGCCAAATCAAGAGAAAAATTTAATGGAATTTCAAGTAATTTATTGAAATAATTGTCGATAATTAGTTAATTCTGATCGGTCTGCAAGAAAAATAATCCTTTTTACTTGAGCCTAAGTTTATTTCTTATAAATTCCTTCAAATTATAGGTTCTTGTTCATTTCAGAGGCACAAGAAATAAACTAAAAATTTGGCTATGATCCGAAAATTATCTCGAGTCGAGTCTTGTTAATTTTGTTCCTGAGTCTTGGTTCTTATCTTGGTCTCGAGTATTGGAAAATTTTGGACTTGGACAACTCTAGCTGGTAGAAGGGTTTGTTCGAATCTCACTAAACTAGGCTATTAAATTGGGCTTCTCAAAGTCCTGGACATATCGGTAAATAGTAACCATGCAAAGACGGCGCAATTGCTTTTGCAAGTAAAAAGAGCGCATCGAATACTCACTGCTCAGTTCTTATACCTAATCTCATATCCCGACATAATTGAAAAATAATTAATTTATTTGTAATTTTAGGTTATCGGTCCAAAAGAAATTTATGTACCTACACATTTATTTAAAATTGTTATTCTCAAAATATTTGATAATTCTGAATGGAAGTATTGGTTGGAATCTTATGTAATGACGAATACTGATTTAAATGAGTTATTTGACGTAAAAAATGGTATGCTTTTAGATAGAGATCTTTTTGTTCTGTTTTGGAGTCAAAGGTCTGCGCTTGATAACAACCAAACGTTTAAACAATGTCAAAATGTGGGCACTTCGAAAATTCTTAATTATATTTATTCCTTTTGTTCTATATCATTTAAGCCTTATTTGATCTCCTATTTATCTTCAATTTTAACAAGGTTATGTCATAAATATTGTCTCCTGATATAATACAGGGTGGGGCAAAAGTTCGGCGACAAATTTTATTTTGTCCTATCTTAAAATTTACTTTATATTTTGCATTTTGTTTAGTTTTCCCATATTCTATGATTTGCGCTCTACAAATTTTATCTTGAAAATTTTTCTCTATCTCATAAAGTAAAAATTTTACTGAATGTTAAAAAATCGTGCTTCTATTATTTCTTCGTATTTTAAAAAATGGGCGAAAATGTCCATCGCTAGAAAATGTGCATCGCTAGTGCATCGCTAGACGGCTCGATATCTGTCGTATGTTGTTTTCCAAAGCAATAAAACGATATCATGAGCTTGGAAAAACTCAGGACCGTCATAGTAGTGGCCGGCCGGTAACCGAAGTTACGACTGAAAACATGAACGGACGTCAGATGCCGAAACACAACAGACGAAATTTGGGCCGTTGACTTATTATTCTTATATATTATATCATTTTCAGAGGAAACAAGGAAATTCCTTCCTGATGGATCGCCAAAAATTGTTCATAATTGCCGAAAGATGCCATATTTCCTTGAACATGTGGAGGCGATAAAAAAATACACGGAGAATAATTTTCCAAGACATATAGTTAATTTACTAAAATATTATAGAAGGTCATATAAATTTATTGAAGAAAATAGTGACTTTCGATTGTTAACTTTGTTAAGTGAGAAAATAAAAGGGATAGAAGATGGTGTTCTTTTTGATATGGAAACTGAAAGAGTTAAGGATAAAAGAAATGGCGAAGTAGAGATAAATAAGGGAAATTTTAAAGAAGAGATAAGTATAGATAAATATAGTGATCTGACAGAATCGAAGAATGATAGTTTATCCAAAAATATTGTTGAATTAAGTCATAATAAAATAGAAAAAGGAAAGGGAAAAGCAAAAAGAAAAGCGAAAGGAAAAGGAAAGGAAAAAGTTATTTTTTGAATATAATTTTGTTATTTTATTAATTATTTCAGATGGAAGTTGATCAGATGGTAGATAGTCAACAAAAATTATTTAGTGAGCACAAAAAAGATCCAAGTATTGAGTTGGTTCAAAAGAACTTGGAGATTGGCAATAAATCAGAGACTGCTCAATTAAATAAAAATAATGCATCGAATATTCGAAGTTTACCTAAGGAAGAGGAATGGCAGGAAATTAAAAGTAAAAGGAATAAAAAAGGAAAAAACCAAAATAAAAAAATAATTTTCGAGGAAAAAATAGAGGAGTTCATAGAAAGTTCGAAAGATTCCGTTGTAACAAATTATTCTACTTTAGTAGCTGACAATGAAATAAATAAGGTTATTAATCCAGTACTTGAAAAAACAAAATCAGCGTCAGAGGATGAAAAAGTTTGGATATTTTTTAATAATATTATAAAGTTTAACTCATTTTATCCTTAATTTTCTGAGATAAAAAATATAATTTGCGATTTAGAAACTCAAGTAACTATTTCATGCTTTTCCTGTATGGCTAGGCAAAATTTGTCTTAATTTTAGTATTTCTTTTACAGGCAGTAGTTTATTTATCTCTAAGCCAAGATAATATTTATCAATCCTTTCGGAAAATAGAAATTAAACTAAAATGTTAATTTGACATGCTAGCACTAACTAACACGCAATTTAATGCGTGGTTTTATAGCGTGGTCTTGCGTAAACGTGAATGAGTGATCCATAAAATACTATATATTACCAATATTTAATAATTTTAATCTGAATTTTTAATTAATAGGAAAAAGCGACAATACCAAAATTAATTAAGAACAAAACTAATCAAAAAAGTAAAAATAAAGGAAATCAAAAGCCTAAAGTAAAAGACACCGATCTAGAATTTCTAAATAAAGAGATTAAACAGAAAAATAAACAGATAAATATAGAAAACGAAAAAAAGAAGAAAGCGGATAAGGAAGCTAAAGAACTTTTGAAGATGGAAGCAAGAATAAAGGAAGAAAATGAACAAAAACAAAAGAAGGAGCAAATGAGAAAATTGAAAGAACTTAAAAAGGAATCTGAAAATTATAACGAAGCTTATTCTGAAGAAACTCAACTAGAAGAATTTAATTCAGAATATTTTAATAAACAAACAGATAAAGAAATTTTCTATGAATATATAGAGATGATTTTGTGGGAAATAAAGGAATTTTATGGCGAGCCTTTACTAGAAAATTATGTTGATATAGATAAAAGTATAATAGAATTTCTTGATAATGGTTACAAATATAAATATTTTGATGGACATGGAGAACAATTTAAATTAACCATTAAATGGCGCTTTGATAAGAATAAATTTAATGAAATTAGACTACCTTTTAGTTCAATAATTACGGAAAAACGGGCAATAAAATTAAAATTCAATAAAATATTTGATGAATTTGTTAAGAAAGTTTTATATTTTTATAAAGCTACATTTGAACTTTTGATAAAGCTTGTTAAAAATAATTTTGAAAAAGCTTTGGCAATTGTTTTAGACAAACATCATGTCCCAGAAAAAATTATTTCTGTTGATGAAATATTAGGTTTGTTTTAAAACTTTTTATCTCGATGGAACCGGAGAGTTTCTCGTGGAACCGGAGAGTTTCATTCTCCGGTTTCATCGTTCTTCCTAGAAAATTCCAAATTTCTTCTTAGATATCACCTACGTTGAAGGTGATAATTTAGGAATTAACTAAGGGAATTGAAGGGAATTAGGGGGAATTTGAAGGAAATTATTTAACTAGATACAGTAATTGATCAACACAATGATAAAGGTTAAACGATTATAAATTAAAAATATATTCAAATCCCTCTTAGTGGCAAACGGGAATCCATATTTAACATTTCCTGGTCCCATTTATTTTATATTCCCAAATAATTACTCTGAAAACTATTTTTAAGACTCTCGCCATTCGGGGTAATTAACCGAGAGAAGCATTATTTTATGAAGTTATTTATTCGGGCATAGGTTATAAATACTTATAAATTTATTTAATTTATTTATTTTTAGATAAATTAAATAATATAAGTAATAAAAATATTTCTGATAGACACATTATAATCAAAGAATTATTTATTCAAGAAACAAATATTGACGATATTGATACAAAAAATTTATTATCTACAAACGCAAAAATATTATATTATTTACCTTTACTCAAAGAGATAAATGAAATGTATTTAACACATGGCAAAGGATTATTAATTTATTATATTGTTGAAATTATTTGTTTAAAAAATCAGTTTGTTAATTTTATTTTTAATTTGAATTATTTTACAATATTAAATCAGATTATCTAAATAACAATCACTGCAATCTAAAAAAGCTCCAAGTGTTCTAACACCCGTATTGATATAATAAAAATGAAAACCGCTAGGGGGGTAGGTGAATTTCTGAATTTAGATCACCTCACCCTAACTTTTGCTTTTTTGACTATTTTCTTCAATTATTTTTGCTTTTTTTCAATAGCGATTGTTAAAAATAAATTAAAAAATTATTGATATCAATTTTCTATTTCAATATCCTTGAATCTAATAAGATTCAGCTATGATAATATACCGTAAACGCTAAGTAACGTACAACTTCGTTCAGAACATCTTAGCATGTTTCGGTCAAACTATACCGGAGCGTCCTGAATTAGGTAATTTTGAACGAACTTATAGCTTGCGGTATCATGGCCTGTTCCTTATAGGAACTTCTACGTGTATATATTCTTTAGATTGTATTTTTGTAGCGATTTATATTTGTAAATTTTTTATACAAAATACTTATAAATTAACCCAAACTTAAAAGTCCTATAAATTAAATAAACGTTTTTAAATCGAAGCCCTGATTTAATTTTATTTTTAAATTTAGTTTGAATATTTTACTAGAAAGCGAACATTCAATATTTGATTCGAGTATAAACATAAAAGAAAACAATTTAGCAAAACTAAATAAAGTTTTGACGTTACCATTTTATAATGAACTAGCAGAAAATGGAAAAATTATGGCTAATTTAAAACCCAAAAGGGGTGCAATAAACAAATTAATATCAGGGCAAAAAAATCTAAATAAAATTCAAAAAGATATTGAAAAGATGACAGAGAGATTTAAACTTGTATTTGGAGATTGTGCACGTATTGTGCATGCAGCAAATCAGAAATGTGAACTAATTAAAGAAATTTTAAATGAATACTTTGGTTCTAGTAGTATAAATTTAGAAAATGATGGAAATAAAGATAAAATAAATGATGCAGAAATTAATGTTGATGATACACAAGGTTATCTTATTAGATGCCTTTTACCTACGTTTGTTAGGACTTCACCGAAAGGACTTCACCGAAATCCAAGGGAAAATTCCGATAATAAATTTTTGTTTCTTTGGATTTGGATATCTTTATCCGGTAATAATTTTTGATTAGCAGCTGTTTAACCTAATTTTACATAAAAATATTTTTAATTACATTAATTAGAATATCTAAAAGTAAAGATATAAAATAGCAAGAGATGATAAGATAGATAGCAAGAGATAAATAGTAAAAGGCACAATATAAATAGTAAATAGTTGTCATGTAACTGAGCTTAGGGTAAGAAGATTGAACATGAAGATGGACATGTGACGTTGAGTCTTTTGTTCTTTGAGATTCCTTTTAAATAAGGCTGCAATCTTGTTCGGATAGAAACGTCAAACTACTCAAAACATTGTCTGATTGGACCTAAATTTTACAAATTATAATCTTAACCTAAAATTAATTTTTTATGTGTAATAATTAAATTTAGTTAGAAACATAATTGAAGAAGACAACATTCCATCTGGAATACCATTAACTAATAAAGATAAAATACCTCAAATTGAAGATAAAAACATAACTGATGAATCTGAAAGTAATAAAGATAAACTGATAAGGGTTGGTGATAACATTCCATTAGGAGTACCATTATCAATTAAAGATGAAACAGTACAAAATGCAGATGATAAAAATATAACTAATGCCTCCGAATGGAATTGAATTTAAAAATTTAAATTTTATATTTTCATTTATATTTCAAAAACGTGCTAAACCGACAAAACTTATTGCTCAACCTAATATTTTGCTGTAATTGCTCCAAATATTTACCTTTTGATTCGCCCCAGTTAGCCGAGTCGAATATTACAACTTCCCGATATCGCAAATAGCTGTGGGCCGTGATTTACCCTGAAAATCGAAAAACCATGGGGGGGGGGGGGGGGGATACAGTACAACGCTGATTTTTGGCACCAAAAATTCGAATATGAAAAGCTCGCTCAGTTAGAGCTTGTCGAGCTGAGTCGAAAGACACCAAAATCATTACATCTAAATAATTGGACTCGTATTGTGGACTCGTACCTTTCGTACTTTGGCCTTGTTCCCAGTTTGTGTTTTGGTCTAATATCGGTTTTATTTTGGGGAGATTTTTTTTTAATTATTAATTTTCAAAAAGTTTTGGTTTTTTTAATTTCATAAAAATAGTTAAAAATTTTCAGTTATCAAAATTTTTGGTTATAAAACAAGTCTGGCCAACTCTATAAAGACAGAAAAATATGTAATATTATGCCTATAAAATTCAAAATTTAATTTTTTTTAATTTTGTTTTTCTCATCGATATTATTTCAACATTAATAATTAACTAAAATAAACCACAAAAATACAAAAAATTCAATTCATCTTTCTATTTTTTTAAAATAAATAAACAAACTTATAAACTAGCATAAAAACTAATCATAAACACCAAAAAGCTTTGTCCAAACTTGATTTCTTCCAAAAATTTGTTTTCCCAAAGGGAAACGAAAAGCGGAAGAAACTTAAAGGAAGTGGAGTAAAAAATAAGAAAAAGCTCATTCCGGTTCCCATGCCGCCCAGAATTCCCTCCCTCCCTTCTTTCCCCTTCCCTCTCCCACGCACTCCCCCGCAGCTGACAAAACGGCTTTTGATGCAAAGTGTCCTTTTAAAATAAAAAAAACTAAAAATCCAAAATATAAAGAGATGAAGATTTGAAAAGAATAAGGCAAAAATGAGCTAAATTTTAAAAGTCAAAATTTGCAAATTAAGCCAAAATAATTTTTGGCTTAATTTTTTAAATAATTTTGTCAAATATTAATTTATAAATTTATTTTTCTATTTATTTTTTAATTTCTAAATTACATGATAAAAAAATTTTTTTAATTAGAAAAAAGTTTTATTTCTTTTTTGAAAGGTAACTTAGAGTAAATATTCTTTCATGTTTTTTATTGTTTACTCAAAAAATTTTCTTTGGCCTTCTTTGCGTATTTTTAGCCCTATCTATTGCCTTTGAGGCCGACACATTCACCATTTTCGAAATGAGGAATTCCTGTCGGCAGGATTTTATTTAATTATTATAAAGTGTGCATAAACTTTTGCACCACAGTGTATTCTCGATACCTTAATTAACTTATATCTAATCGTTATTCAAACGATTTCCATTATTATAAATTTTTATTAAATTATTCTCTAAATATTCAATTAACTACTCTTACCTTTCATTTTTATATTAAAATTTATTTTTATTAAAAAAATTTTTTTGTAAAAATAATTTTCCTCAGCTATGTACATACTCTTTTCTCCACTTCTACACTCTGTTTCAAAAGTATAACCCACTTTTGATTTTTCACTTTTCTCGATGTTAAGTTAATGTATTTTTTTGAAATTTGGTATGTTGATCCAATTAACTAATCTAAAAATATTCCCAAAGTTCCATCCATTTTTATCCAATACAAAATTTTTAATTAATTTTTTTCTAAAATCTTCCCCAAAATAGTTGTTTCATAAGTATAACCCATTTTTATTTTTCATATTTCCAACAATAGGAAAAATCTTTAAAAATTCCATGAAACATATATATTGATATTATAAAAATTAGAAAAAAAATTAGGCCCATATCTCTACTCAGAGTCGAGATTCTGGCATCTCAAAAACCTCAAAAATTAACGTAAAACGTGGGGAAGTCTTTTTAAAATATATTTTCGACACATTAAGGGTAGTTTTGAAATTTGTGTTTTGGCCTATCTGAAAGCTCATGAAATTTGCTACAAGATAGCATTTGCCTTATTTTTCAGAAAAAATCCATTAGAAAGATACAGGAGGTTAAACTTTCGCATCAACATAAAACGCCTAAATGTCCACAAAAATGACCGTTAAGGTCGCTTCTGATGTTTAACCAACTGTATCTCGCTAATGGATTTTTTCTGAAAAATAAGGCAAATGCTATCTTGTAGCAAATTTCAAGGGCTTTCAGATAGGCTAAAAATAAAATTTTTATTTTGCCTGTAAGGGTTCGAAAATATTTTTTAGAT